ATCAAACCCATGCTCTCCAGGATCTCCAAGGTCCTGGAAGCTTGTGCCATGGCCCCGTGCATGCCTTGCAAGGAGGAGAATGCCCACCTCAGGTGTGTGTCATCGGCGTAGTTGACCAAGTGCTCTAGGCACCAATCCGCGCCTAGCACACGCTCAATCTCATGGACTATGTAAACCATGATGCATCCCCATAAAGTAGGTGAAAGTTTGCATCCTTGTCGGATTCCCTGACGGGAGCTGAAGTTCACATCGACGTCATCCTGGACGATGTGGTATTCTGTGTCCTGAACCCATCGCATGAGCAAATTAACGAGGTCACTCGGTACCTGTAGTAGGGTCAGAGCTGATAGCAGTAGTCGCCGATCAATGCGGTCGAAAGCCTGTGTGCAATCAATGCTGACTTGTAACCCTCCGACGCATTTGTGAACCCGGGCCCCTGCTCTTTTGGCATAAAGCGATCTGCCCTGTGCACGAGTCTGCTGGCGAATGTGACTGCAATGCTGGAATACCAGATCCAACGCCTGCTGGGTGGACCGGTTGCTGAGGTAGCCGAAGAATGGTAGATGACGCGTCCGAGCCTCCAAGTACGGGGCCAGTTTGTCCTTCAAGACGCCACTGATGGCCTTTCCCGCCGGCTCGAGGAGAGCGATTGGCCTCAGGTGTTCGGGTTTGGTGCCGGGTTTGCTGGGTTTGCTGAGGAACGTCAGCCAGGCACCTGGCCATTCCTTGGGCACAAAGGCCCCGACCTGTCGCCACCGGGCGAGGGTGTGCAATTCCAAAAAATCGGCTATCGAGGCTGCAGCAAGTTTCCACATCACATGCGGTGCGCAGTGTTTCGGCGCGGCCTTGCTACCATGTAAAGATTGTAGCGCATGTTCCACCTCTCCCTGAGTGATGTTGTACGGGGCAACGTGTTTGATCAAGGTGGCCTGCGCCTGGTTTGTCCGTGTGCTGGTCGTGTCGTCCTCACCGTCGGTGTCCCCACAGACTCCCTTCCAATATGTAGCAAGCGCCTCGGCCTCCTGAAGTGGGGTCATCAGCTTGCCGCTGGCATCGCGGAGCTGAGTCCTTTTGCGAGCTTGTTTGGGGGCTACACGCTTCAAGAGGTCAAACACCGCACTGGAACCATCGACTTGATCTCGGGCCTGCGCGTCTGCCAGCAATTGATCCAACCGCTGTCTTCGGAGACGCCTGCTGTGTTTTTGGACTTGCTTGTGTAGCTTATGGAAGGCAGCCCAGTGCCGAAACGCCTCGAAAGCTGCACGTAGAAGTCCTGGAGCACGATGTGACCTCATGAGACGATAATGTTGCCACATGGTTTTAATGGTTTGAACGTGAGCTCCATGCGTCCATGGGGGAGGTATGCTGTGAGGCCGATGTATCTTGAAGACCTGGCGGCCCACTGCGAGCATAGTGTCATTCAACTGCTGTGGCGAGTATTC